AAGAAAGAGAAAGGAAGGAAGGAAGAAAGAGAAAGAAAGAAAGAGAGGAAAGAAAGAAAGAGAAAGAAAAAAAGAAAAAGACAATAAAATAGAAAGGAAGAAACAAGGAAGAAAAAATAAAAAGAGAGAAATGGGTGGGCAGAGAAAGAAAGAAAGGAAAAAGAAAAGAAAAGACTGGGCAGAGAAAGAAGGAAGGAAAGAAAGAAAAGAGAAACAGAAAGGAAGGAAGGAGAGAGAAAGGGGAGAGAAAGAGCAGGGTGGACAGCATATCCTCCCTTGTGGAGCAGAGTGACACATGCTCCTTATGGAAGTGCTTTCCATGATGCCTGACCCAGGCCCCCCTTCCTCCCTTGCAAACCCCCTGGCCCCGGCCCCATCTCTCCACTTCCCTGAACTGAGCACTTGCCCCAGAGCCCCAGGTTTTGAACCCAGCCTTCATCTTGTCTGTCCTCCTGCACGTGGTGTTTCTGGTGCTTCCCCTTCTAGTCCTTTGACCCTGCCATCCAGCTGTTAACCATCAACCTGCCTATAAAAGGCAATTCTGATTGAAGGCAAAGGGAGGGTTGTGGTGCACAGGACCACGTGCCCTTCTGCCCAGCTAGATATTGGTGTCTGCTTCTGGCTTGACATCCAGCATATGAAACTGACTTAGATTCCCAGAACATCATGGAAAGTAGCATCTGCTGTGACGATTGCCCAGTGGCTCGTGCTCCGCGGCCTGGCCCAGGATCCCTGCCACCTATCTGTCCGTCTGTCCACCTGTTTGTCCCTTCATCCATCTGCGATGCTGCAGATCTGCAGCATTTCCCCACAGGCTCAGGAGGGGCTGCTCCTGTACAGCCCATTCCTGTCTGCAGGCAGTTTCTCCCTGCCACCCTGAAGGAAGGACTGTATTTGTCTGAAAGCATGCAGAAGGCAGCCAGGGTCTGCAGAGGAGGCAGCCTGAAGCCCAGTCCCCAGGGCTTCTTTATCTGCTGTTGCTGTTTTGAGACAGTCTTGCTCTGTTTCCCAGGCTGGACTGCAGTGGCACTATCTCAACTCACTACAACCTCCACCTCTCAAGTTCAAGCGATTCTTCCTCCTCAGTTTCCTGAGTAGCTGTGATTACAGGTGCCCACCACCAGGCCCAGCTAATTTGTGTGTTTTTAGTAGAGATGGGGTTTCACCATGTGGGCCAGGCTAGCCTCGAACTGCTGACCTCAGGTGATCTGCCCACCTCAGCCTCCCAAAGTGCTGGGATTACAGGTGTGAGGCACGTTGCCCAGCTCCTCATACTTCTTTTCAAGAACCTAGCAAACTTTCTTCCCTAGGGCTCCAAGGTGCTGCTTTCAGACTCTGAAGGGGTGCTAAGGATTATCTGGGATTCCACTGCCTTCTCTTCTCCTCCCTGCCCCTCCTCTCCCTTCCCCTCCCCTCCCCTCCCCTTTCCTCTCCTTCCCTCCCATCCCTTTCCCTCTCCTCCCTTCTTTTCTCCTCTTCTTCGGAGACAAGACCTTGCTTAGTGGCCCAGGCTGGATTGCAGTGATGCAATCATAACTCATTGCAACCTCAGCCTCTAAGTGAGCCTCCCACATCAGCCTCATGAGTAGCTTGGATTACAGGCTCACACCACCACACCTGGCTAATTTTCTTTTTTATTTTTTGTAGAGATAGGATCTCTCTATGCTGCTCAGGCTGGTCTTGAACTCCTGGCTCAAGTGATCCTCCTGCCCCAGCGTCCCAGCATGCTTGGGATTATAGGCATGAGCCACCATGCCCAGCCTTCACTGCCTTTCTTTTCCTCAGTAAAAATCTCGCATAGGGAGACTGCATTGTTCTGTTACAGTTTCTGCAGGTGCCTCTCTTTTCCTGCTGTCAGGCAGTGGGGACAGGGAACCAAAAAAAAAAGTGTCCAGTCCTTGTCCCTGGGGAGCTCGTAATAGAGGAGGGGAGATGTACATGTATATTGCAGTGGATGTGCAGTCAGCTTGAGCACGTGTATCTGCAGTCAGCTTCAGCCCTGCCATGGCAGGACCAAGTCCACATGGTGAGGGAAACACACCCTCTGCTAACTCCAGGGCGGGTAGATAGCAGTTGAGCTGAATTGAGGAGTTACTCACTCTGGGGTTTACCCACTTTTGCCCCATAGATTTTAGGGACAACAGGAGAAGCACATATCCCCTTTCTGCCCCAACCCTGGGCACCATCCCACAAACAAATGGCAGAGACTGGTGACACTGGCTTTTTCTAGCTGAGCACGGGGCACCTGCTTCCCCTCTTCTCCCTCTTCATCATCAGGCCTTGGTGGAACTGTGTGCTAGAAATTTACACTTTTGGCTGGGTGCGGTGGCTCAAGCCTGTAATCCCAGCACTTTGGGAGGCCAAGGTGGGTGGATCACGACGTCAAGAGATCGAGACCATCTTGGTCAATATAGTGAAACCCAGTCTCTACTAAAAAATATATATATATATATATATATATATAAAATTAGCTGGGCATGGTGGCTCATGCCTCTAATCCCAGCTACTCAGGAAGCTGAAGTAGGAGAATTGCCTGAACCCAGGAGGCAGAGGTTGCGGTGAGCCAAGATCGCGCCATTGCACCCCAGACTGGGTAATAAGAGTGAAACTCTGTCTTGAAAAAAAAAAAAAGAAATTTACACTTTCCATTTTCGGAGATGCTTCTAAAAACTGGACTTCTTCCAGCTTGGTGTGAGCTGGAAGTTAGATCAGTTTCCATTTCTTGCACCTAAAAAAATGATGACAGAAGTCAGATGTACCCTGGGCCCTCTAGTTGGAACTAGAATGGATGAAAAGAACACAGCTTTGGAGTCAAGCAAACCTTCCCTGGTTCTATTTTTTAATTAATTAATTATTTGCTTTTGGATATGGCAGGGTATTTCCTTGTCACCCAGGCTGGAGTGCAGTGGTGTGATCACAGCTCACTGCAGCATGAAACTCCTGGACTCAAGCAGTCCTCCCGCCTTGGCCTCCCAAGTAGCTGGGACCACAGGCACACACCACCATGCCTGGTTTATGTATCTTTTTTGTATCATACTTCAGCTGTACTTCCACCTTTGCAGACTCAGGCAGGTTTATTACCACCTGGGGTCTCATTTTCTCTTCTGTCAAGTGGAGAGAATATCTGCATAGTGGAGTTTTCAAAGTGTGGTCCAGGGACACCTAGGGGCTGGTCCCCAAGACCCTCTCTGGGGGGACCACTGTCTCAAAACTGCTACCATAAGAATGATAAGATAGCAGCCAAACATGGTGGCTCAAGCCTGTAATCCCAGCACTTTGTGGGGGCTGAGGTGGGCACATCACCTGAGCTCAGGAATTCAAGACTAGCCTGGCCAACATAGTAAAACCCCATCTCTACTAAAAATACAAAAAATTCGCCTGGCATGGTGGTGGCGCCTGTAATCCCAGCTACTGGGGAGGCTGTGGCAGCCCAGCTTTGGTTTGTGACACAGGAGTTCAGACACAACCTAAAAGCAAGATCAAAGCAGGTGCATAAAAACCAGGGTTTAGGCCGGCTGTGGTGGCTCATGCCTGTAATGCTGGCTCCTTGGGAGGTCAAGGCAGGAGAATCACTTGAGCTCAGGAGTTCAAGACCAGGCTGCATGTAGTGAGATCCTGTCTACTAAAAAGGTATTTTAACCAACATGCCCAGCTAATATTTGTATTTTTAGTAGAGATGGGGTTTTACCATGTTGGCCAGGCTGGTCTTGAACTTCTGACCTTAAGAGACAGTCTGCCTCAGCCTCCCAAAGTGCTAGGATTACAGGCATGAGCCACTGCACCTGGCCTCAGGTAGCATTATTATATAATGGAGTTTTTGTTTGTTTTTAATCTTAGAGACAGGATCTTTTTGCTCTGTCATTCAAGCTAGAATGCAGTAGCACCATCTCAGCTCACTGCAGCTTCCAACTCCCAGGCTTAAGCAATTCTCCTGCCTCAGCCACCAAAGCTGGGACTACAGGTGCACACTGCCATGCCTGGATAATTGTATAATTTTTATTCTTTCTAGAGATTGGGTCTTGCTATGTTGTCCAAGCTAGTCTTGAACTCCTGGCCTCAAGTGATTTTCCTACCTCAACCTCCCAAAGTGCTAGAATTACAGGTGTGAACCACTGTGCCAGGCCTATGAACTTTCAGTACCACAGATATGCCGTGTATCTGTTTATGTTCTTTTTTGGGGCTTTATGCCTAAAAAGAGTACAATTTGTTTTTGCCTTTTCTTTTTTTTAACGTTCTCACAAAGTATTTTAATAAATATATTAAGGCTTAAGGTAATTACTGGTTTGCATGGAGGGTGGTTTGATTTCTAGCACACTAGTTTACATTCAGAATCTTAAAAATGGAAACATTTGCCATCTTACAGTGAGCGAAACAGAACACTGGCTTGCTCCAGTTTTTTTTTTTCACTCTTCAACATGTCTTTGTATTATTTTCCTTCCTTCTGTATCTCATAGATAAAGAATGACACAAATTTTTGGTTGAGAAAAGCCAGTTGATTGGGATGACTAGAAGTGTTAACATTTTTCGTAAAAAAGCTTTCACTCAATCACTGGGCAGTTAGTGAGCTTAAATGCTCATTAAAGAGCAAGAAAACCTGCAGACCATATGGAGGAAGGGAAGCAGTGAAATGGTGGTTTTAATACATTCCAAAATAGAAGCAGGGACACTAACACAAAGGGAGTTAGAATGCTCTGCCATCTGTAAGGAAGTGGCTGGCTACAAGCCACCTCACACAGAACACCCACTAAGGCCTTCCACACAGATCTGCTTGTTGTATTCTCATTATGAATCCCCCCAGCAGGTACATCTTAATACAAAGGTGTGGAGGATACTGCTGAGGACCTCTGGGTCACCTAAGCAGGAATTGCAGCCATCAAACTGGATTGCCACCGTGTGTCTTCAGAGAACTCCCTGCCTATGAATGAGGACCATTCACAATGGAGGTGCTTTCTTGCAAGAGAAGCAACAAACGCTGACAGCGTGTCCAATAGGAAGGGCTTCTCAATAGTCACATCCCTCCCAAGACCCTCTAGATGGACTCCAGATTCCAGTCACTGCTGGAGAGGGAGGAGGCAGGCAGTGACAAGTCCCAAGAAGGGCCTCGGTCCCTTCTGTCATGCAGGGAGTTCTGCTCCTGGAAATATTCTTCCTCTTCATTGAAGAAGCCATTCTCCAGAGCATAAGTGCAGTCTGGGCTGGAGGCTGCCTGGCAGGCCCACTTGCACTCCTGAATCGACTCGTAGAGCCTGTACAGTTGGTAGAGCAAGGACATGTCCAGCTGGCGGAGACCAACCGTCTCCTTGTGGAGCAGCAGCAGCGCGGTGTCCAGGTTGGGTGGCTTGGCTGACAGCGCTGCAGCCCGGCCCCGCTGCCTCACGCACCCCCGCAGCTCAGCTCGTCCTGGATGCGCGACTTCTGCGCTTACAGCTGCTCCAGGTGCAGCTGCCTGACGCACAGTACAGCAGCCGGCTCAGGCTCTTGGGCAGCAGGGGCAGCCCGTCTACCCGCAGGCCTCAGGCTGCGCCATCGTCCGAGGCCCCTGGCGCCTTGTGGGCCCCAGTCGTGCTGCTGCCAGACCACACGCCTGCTCCACTGCCCCCTGTTTTCACCTTTTCAAGAATTGATTTTCACCCGGCTGAGAATACATTTGTAATGAAGTCTCATACCACAGGAATGAGAATAGGGAAATCTTTAGCCTCAAATCTCATTCCCCAGAATTAACCACTGTTAATCATGTGGGGCTGGTGGGAACCGCTCATCAGGGCAGAAGACGAAAGAAGAATTTGGGTCTATATTTGCCCACTTTTTTCTTTTTTTTTTTGAGAAAAGGACTTGCTCTGTCACCCAGGCTGGAGTGCAGGGGTGTGATCATGGTTCACTGCAGCCTGGACCTCCTGGGCTCAAGCAACCCTCTTACCTCAACCTGCTGAGTAGCTAGAACTGCAGGTGCATACCACTACACCTGGCTATTTTTTTATGTAGAGATAGGATCTCACTATGTTGCCCAGGCTGGTCTGAAACTCCTGGACTCAAGCGATTCTCTGACCTCAGTCTTTCGAAGTGCTGGGATTGCATGTGTGAGCCCCTGCACTGGGTTTCCTGCTTGATTTCTTTCTTTTCTTGTTTTTTAGACAGTCTCACTCTGTCACCCAGGCTGGAGTATAACAGCACAATCTCAGCTCACTGCAGCCTCTGCCTCCCAGGTTCAAGTGATTCTCCTGCCTCAGCCTCCCAGGTAGATGAAGCTACAGGCATGCACCATCACACCCAGCTAATTTTGTGTTTTTTTAAAATTATTTATTTATTTTTTGAGATGGAGTTTCACTCTTGTTGCCCAGTCTGGAGTGCAATGGTACAATCTTGGTTCACTGCAACCTCCACCTCCCAGGTTCAAGCAATTCTCCTGCCTCAGCCTCCTGAGTAGCTGAGATTACAGGCATGCACCACCATGCATGGCTAATTTTTGTATTTTTAGTAGATAATGGGTTTCACCATGTTGGCCAGGCTTATCTCAAACTCCTGACCTTAGGCAATCTGCCTGCCTTTGAATTCCTGAAGTGCTGGGATGACAGACATGAGCCCATGTGAGCCCCTATGCCTGGCTGCCCACTAGTTTTGATTGTGAGTTCATGGGCGAGTTCCTTGGTTTCCGTAAGTTTTGGTTTCTCCTTTGTAGTAGAGTGACAAGCGTGTATTGTGGAGTGGCTGTGAGTGCTGGATCCAATTGTTGATGTGACAGAGCTGAGTGGAGGGTGTGAGATGACTAAGTGTCAAACAGGTGCTGCTTAGACCGTTGTCATGGTCACTCTCAGTGTGTAACATCTGAGACCTCTGTATGGGGCACATTGTAAATTGGGGATCCTGAGCTAATTTTTACCTTTTTAAATTTAATTTCTTTCTTTTTTTTTTGGACACAGAGTCTTACTCTGTCATCCAGGCTGGCATGCAATGGCACAATCTCTGCTCACTGCAACCTCGAACTCCTGGGTTCAAGTGATTCTCCTGCCTCAGTCTCCCAAGTAGCTGGGATTTTTGAGACAGTCTGTCTGTCACCCAGGCAGGAGTGCAGTGGCTTGATTTTAACTCACTGTAACCTCCACCTCCTGGGTTCGGGTGATTCTCCTGCCTCAGCCTCCTGAGTAGCTGGGATTATAGGCAGGCACCACCATGCCTAGCTGATTTTTGTATTTTTAGTAGAGATAGGGTTTCACCCTGTTGGCCAGGCTGGTCTCAGGCCCACTGCCACATCCTGCTAATTTTTTGTATTTTTAGTAGAGATGGGGTTTTGCTATGTTGCCCAGGGTGGTCTTGAACTCCTGAGCTCAAGCAATCTGTCCTCCTAGGCTTCCAAAATGCCGGGATTACAGGCGTGAGCCACTTCACCTGGCTTTTCAATTATTTCTTTTCAAGACAGGGTCTTGCTGTCAGGCTGGAGTGCAGTGGTGCCATCATGGGTAACTGCAGCCTTGACCACCTGGGCTCAAGCAATCGTCCTGCCTCAGCCTCCCAGGTAGCTGAGACCATAGGTGTGAGCCACTACACCCAGCTAATTTTTATTATTTTTAAAGATATTTGGGTCTCGCTATGTTGCCCAGGCTGGTCTTCAACTCCTGAGCTCAAGTGATCCTCCCACCTCAGCCTCCCACAGTGCTGGGATTATAGGCATGAGCTACCATGCCTGGCCTTTTTGAAATTTATTTTTAATTTTTTTTTGAGTCAGTCTCACTCTGTCATCCAGGCTGGAGTGCAGTAGTGCAATCTCAGTTCACTACAACCTCTGCCTCCTGGGTTCAAGTGATTATCTTGCCTCAGCCCCACCAAGTAGCTGAAATTTACAGGCACCCACCACCACACCGGGCTAATGTTTGTATTTTTAGTAGGGACAGGGTTTCACCATGTTGGCCAGGCTTGTCTCCAACTCCTGACCTCAAGCAATCTGCTTGCCTCAGCCTCCCAAAGTGCTGGGATTACAGGTGTGAGTCACTGTAATCACTGAAGCAACGTCTATTTGTTAAAAAAGGAAATATCTATGCACTTCTTTTGCCCTTTTCAAAATTGGGTGTTTTATTGTTGTTTACTTGAAGGATTTCTTTATATATTTTGGTTATTAGCCCCTTATCAGATACATAATTTGCAAATATTTTGTCCCAATCCATTGGCTGTTGATTGTATTTATGTGTTTTAGAGCAGGTCTCACTCTGTTACTCAGGCAGGAGTGCAGTGGTGCCCTCAAGGCTTGCTGCAGCCTCAACCTCCCCAGCTCAAGCTATCCTCCCACTTCAGTCTCCCAAATAGCTGGGACTACAGTCATGTGCCACCATGCCCAGATAATTTTTGTGTAGTTTTTGTAGAGATGAGATTTTGCTATGTTGCCCAACCTGCTCTCAAACTCCTGTCCTGAAACAGTCCACCTCCCTCCACCTCCCAAAGGACTGGGATTGCAGATGTGAGCTACCAGGCCAGGCTGTAAAAGGACATTTTTGAGATCATCATAGACAATGGGTGACAGATTGGTTATTGGTAACAGGAAATTACTGATGATAATAATGTATAGCAAGATGATAAAAAGACATTATTGTTAATTTTGTTGGGTGGTTCTGTGTTGGGAAATCAGAAAGCTTCAATGATTAGAGAATGTTCCCAGGGGTCTAGAGGGAAAGTCATATGATGTGTTGGATTTGTGTGAAATGCCCGTGCAAAGCTGGAGAGACGAAGTGAGAGCAGAGGAAGGGCAGAATGTTAATTGTTGTTGTGAGAGTGGTGGCACAGAGAGACTTCATCCTGGCCTCTGCACTTCAAGTTGTGTTTGAAATTTTCCACTATATGTAATCTTTTAATTTTCAGTTTCTTTGCTTTTCTTTTCTTTTTTACATGGAGCCTCATTCTGTTGTCTAGGCTGGAGTGCAATAGTGCCATCTGGACTCACTGCAACCTCCACACCCTGGGTTTAAGTGATTCTCCTGCCTCAACCTCCTTAGTAGCTGGGATTACAGGCATGGGCCACCACACCCAGCTCACTTTTGTATTTTTCGTAGAGATGAGGTTTCACCATATTGGCCAGGCTGGTCTCAAACTTCTGACCTTATGATCCACCCACCTCAGCCTCCCAAGGTGTTGGGATTACAGTTGTGAGCTACCACACCTGGCCTAATTTTTTGTATTTTAAGTAGAGACAGGATTTTACCATGTTGGTCAGGCTGGTCTCAAACTCCTGAGCTCAGGTGATCCCCCTACCTTGGCCTCCTGAAGTGCTGGGATTATAGGTGTGAGCCATTGTGCCTGGCTTTAATTTGCAGGTTTTGTAAATGACTTGTATAATAGAAAAGCAGAGAAATAAATTTCCTTCCCATTCAGATGAACCTCATGTTTGTTTTAAGGTATAGTATTTAGGCTAGATTTCAGAAGCTTTGGGATGAATAATGTAAGAAAGATTTTTTTTTCTTGGCATCAAATCTTTCTGCCTGCCTCTCAGCTTGCTTCAGAAAATTTAAAAGATCACAATAGTAATCAAAACATATACAGAATTGAAACAGAAGGAAATGCTGTGGGCCACAGAACTCCAAGAATTGTTTTGGTTTTTTTTAAGGTGCTACCCCATGAAAAGTACTCTCAATGCCTTTTTTTTCCTTTGAGACAGAGTCTCACTCTGTCACCCAGGCTAGATGGAGTGCAGCAGCACAATCTCGACTCACTGCAACCTTTTCCTCTCAGGTTCAAGCGATTCTCCTGTCTCTGAAGTATCTGGGATTACAGGGGCACACTACCACACCTGGCTAATATTTGTATTTTTAGCAGAAACAGAGTTTCACCATATTGGTCAGGCTAGAATTGAACTCCTGGCCTCAGGTGGTCTGCCCATTTAGGCCTTTCAAAGTGCTGGGATTATGGCATGAGCCATCGTGCCCGGTCCTACTCAATACTTTTGAAATCTTTAGAGCAACTTGAAGACTTGTAGAAACATAGAATGAATATTTAAAAAAAGGAATGTACTCAATATTATTTATTTTCACTTTGAAAATATAAAACAAAAAATAAGGCAAGTATTGCAAGATTTTTAAAAAAAGAATTTTTCATTGTAAATTTTTAAGAGAGGCAGACATTAGGAACAACATTGGTCCTTGGTGGCCAAGACCAGAGGCCTCTCTCTCCTCAGTCTGCATGGCCACGGGGTCACTTCTCACCACTCAGGGACTCTGTTCTCTCTGAAGGTTTTAGTCTGTGCTGGATGTTCTTACTTTTTTGTGACCTCAGCTGTGAATAGGAAAGAGTATTTATTTTCTTTTTTCCCTCCCTCCTTCCCTTCCCTTCCCTTCGCTTCCCTTCCCTCCCTCCTTTCTTTCCATCCTTCCTTCTTTCCTTAATTCCTTCCTTCCTTCTTTTCTTTCTTCCTTCCTTCTTTTCTTTCTTCCTTCCTTCCCTTTCTTTTTTCTCTTTCATTCTTCCTGCTTTCCTTTTCTTTCTTGCTTTTTTCTTCTCCTCCCTCCCTCCTTCCCTCCCTCCCTTCCTTCCTTCTTTCCTTCCTTTGTCTCTGCTTCCATCTCCTACTCTCCCTTCCTCTCCCCTCTCCTTGTTGCTTTGCTGCCCAGGCTAGAGTGCAGT